ATAAGCTAAGCTAAGCGCACATTTGGGTTTGAGTTGTATGTACGGACAGCCCAATTGCATCCAGACACGAGCTTGATCTTCCATGAATGCCAACAATCTTTAGCCCTGTAAATGGGAATGAAAATTTGGTTCCATCTTCAATCCCAAATGGCCCGTAAGTTCTTTTATTGGTTTTTAGAGTCAATGATCGAATCACAGTGGCAGCAATTCCCCACTTATGCAAGTCACTGTAGTAGCCATTAACCAAAACAAGATGCTCATCCAATTCCAGAACAACCTGTTTTCCATTCCAGTTATTAACATTTTTGTTTGTAAACATCCACACACGTAGCTATAGCTAGAAAGAAAAACTTGATGAAAGTTTTGGGCTAACCTCTGATCGGAAACCTCCATCACCACCATGCTTCTCGGACCACATTAAATTTTGATTCTCATCCTCATATTCCATTTGAATTGAGTCGATCCAAAGTCCATGATAAATTACCAGCCGTCTGATTGTTTGAAAAGTCTCCTCCCAAGGATCTCCACCTTTGCCTCCATATTGTCCCAAGTTCAAGTGCTTCGGCTGAGACTCAGGCTGGAGCCCAATTCTACATGTTATGTTAAGATATATTTTAATAATACATTGTATTATTGTTTCATTCAATTATTTTATCAAGCAAAAATGTTGTGCCCTTCCGATCATATCAAGATATGACAAACATACTTTTGAATTGTTTGGACATGAACTCCAATTGCATTGAGGTACCGAGCAGATTTTCCATGGAACCCAACAATCTTCGATCCAGTTACTGGAAATGAAAATTTGTTCCCTTCTTCAACTCCAAAGGGTCCATAACTTCTAATGTTGGTTTCCAAAGTCAATGATCGAATCACAGTGACGTCGTTTCCCCAATTATGTATGCAGCCATAGTATCCGTAAATTGAAATTAAGTACTCATCCGGATAATCTATAACAACCTACAATCCATTGGTTCAAAGAAGATTTGGAGTTTAAATTGATTCAGGTAATGGTACTTTAATAATCTAGAGCTTTGCTCTGACTGACCTCCGATTTGGAACCTTCGTCTTCACCATGTTTCGGCGACCAAAATGATTCTCCATTCTGATCATACTCAATCTGAATTGAACAGATCCACTCTCTCTCATAAACTACGATCCGTCTGATCGTGGAATAAACTCCGTCGTCCCAAGTGTTAGACGCCGCCGGATTCCAGGAACCTTCGTCTTCCTGCAGTAAGAAAAAGTGGAATCAGAAATTGAGTGTAGCTTCATCATCACCTTCCAAATGAAATTTATACATACCATAAGGCTCTGTAGAATTGTGATGGCAAAGGGCTAAGATCTTGAACGAAAAAGAAGAACATTGTGGATATCAATGGGGATAGTATGTAAAATGGCATCTGCCGGCGAATATATAATATAATATTAAGGAGCTGGAAAGGTAGACAAATGAGACTTGTTCCGGGATTGAGGCCTCTGTTCCTATTATATAAGAGTTGACCGGCAAGACACCAAATAAAAAACTCATACACTGCTCAACAGTTCGCCAGAGGATTTTTTTTTTTTTTTTAAAGCCCCATGGCAGCTAGAGTCAAATGGACTTGTAAATTACAAAATGTGCATTTAGTCTGTAGCACCTCGGTCCAGAATCCCCATTTAAACTGAGAATGGAGAGGGATTAAAGGATTATATTTTCCATCTCAACGGCACCCCATTATATATAAATGCATAAAATTATTATACATTAAATATATTATATTTATACGTATTTCTTATTTCGGTTTGTTGAGAAAATATATTAAAGATTTTTTCTATGGTCCATGTAAAAATAAATGAAGAATTTTAAAATGAGGATTAAAAGAGATGGTCGCCATTTTCCACGAACATCTCTATGTACCATCTATGAAATAATTATTTGGCTTCAGGCTTTTGCAAATACAATTTTTTTTTACATGAATTTATGTTAATTATTTAACGAAAAGACATAATACGGTACAATGTGAAGCTAGAAGTACCGCACGTAGGCCAACGGCCTGAGAAATTGCTCGAGGAGGCTCTGGTTATGACCTACTCTTGAATCGACACTACGTGGAGTCCAATTGCATCAAGATACCATCCAGATCTGCCGTGGAAGCCCACGACCTTCGACCCAACAGTTGGATATGAAAATTTGGAACCATCTTCAACTCCAAATGGCCCATAGGTCCTCTTATTGGTTTCCAGAGTTAAGGATCGAATCACAGTGATTCCAAGTCCCCAACTACGAAGATCACTGTAGTAGCCATGAATGGATACAAGATGCTCCCCTGGAAATCCCAAAACAACCTGCAATTCCATTTGAACACTATGACTTCACTGAAAGTTTCAGTAAGGATTAGCAAATTATGGAGAGAGGAATGAATAGAAAGGAGTATTTGGGTTAACCTCTGATGGGGATCCTCCATCTCCACCATGCTTCCTAGACCACACTATGTTTCCATTATCATCTTCATATTCAAACTGAATGGAGTCAATCCACAATCCATGACGAACCACAAGCCGTCTCATTGACCGAAACATATCTTCCCAACCATCCCCACCTTCACCACCATATTGTCTCAGCTTAGAGGGCACCTCTTGAATTTCGGGTGCTGGTGAAGCTGCAGGCTCCATCTCAGCCTTCGCTCTGCATAGGACAATAACTTCTTACCATCACACACTAATTTTACTTTGTTGACTACAATATATTTAATATTAAAAAAAAAATTCAACCGGAGGATTGTTGAAAGAGGAGTCCGACATCGCTAATTAAGAAGTTGATCATGGATTTATAAGTAAGAAATACATCTACGATGCATTTTGGAAAAGCTAAAAGCAAAGTCACTAGAATTTAGGTTCAAAGTGGATAATATCATATCATTATGAAGGTCGTACTTTCTAACATAATTAACTTCAGTAATGAACCATATTTCAAATATACTACTAAACTAATTTGTCATATTTGAGATTAGAAGGTAGAAAAGAAACAAATCATGAGATCCATTTGAAAAACCACACCCTGCATTATTTTAAGTTTTCTAACTGTATATGATCCCACGAGACCATGTCTGAGAATTTAATTCATTAAAGATCTTATCGTGTTGGAGAGTACTCGCATTATCTATATATATGTGTGGGTGAAAAACGACAAACGACCCATAAATTATTCTATTAGTTTGAAAAACGACACACACAACAGGATGAAATGATAACGAGCAAAAAAGTAAGCATATTATGTATGTTTATATCATAGAAATAGAAGACGATATTCAGAAAATGAAAAGAATAAAGATGGGCTGCCTACTTTTGAGTTGTTCCTAAGTAGAGTCCGATCGCATCAAGGTACCAACCAGATCTGCCATTGACACCAACGATATTTGTCCCCATAATTGGAAATGAAAATCTGGTTCCATCTTCAGCTCCAAACGGCCCATAAGTTCTTCGACTAGTTGCAAATGTCAGCGATCGAATCACAGTGGCAGGATCTCCCATAGCACGTATGTGGCTGTAGTAGCCATGAATAGAAACAAAATGCTCATCTGGAGATTCTAGCACCACCTAGAAACAAATGCCCAAGTTAGGAATTTCAACAAACAGGTTATGGGCAGAGTAATTCATCAGAGGATTTTGGGGTATAACCTCTGATTTGGAACTTCCATCTCTGTCACCATGCTTCTTGGACCATACCAACTTTCCATTCTTATCCTCATACTCAAATTGAATGGAGTGGATCCATTGTTCATGATTAACTACAAACCGTCTGATCGACCGAAAAACGTACTCCCATGGATGCCCACCTTTGCCTCCAAAAGGTCCCAGGCTGTAGTTCTTGAGTTGGATTCTGCATAGCAGAATCAAAATGGAATTAATTCATTTCTGTTCATATGTTTGCAGCATACAAGTAGACGATCGTATGTACGTACCTTGGAATTGGCTGTATGTAGAGTCCAATTGCATCGAGGAACCAACCACATCTGCCATGTAAACCAACAATCTTGGCCCCCATAATTGGGAATGAAAATTTGGTTCCCTCTTCCATACCAAATGGTCCATAAGTTTTTCTATTTGTTTGGAGAATCAAGGAACGAATCACATCTGCTGCAATTCCATAATGGCCTATGCTGCCGAAGTAACCACTAATTGAAATTAGATACTCATATGGGTAATCTAACATAACCTGCAATCATCAACGGTTCGAGAAAAATCAATAGAATGAGACAATTATTCAGGCAATGACGATTCAAACTAGGGCTTGGGAGTACCTCAGAAAGGGAACCTTCGTTCCCGCCATGCTTGGAACCCCAAATTGAATGGCCATTCTTATCATACTCAACATGAAGAGAACAGATCCACTGTCCGTGATAAATTAGAAGCCGTCTGATGGTGGAATAAGACCCATCATCCCAAGGTCCACCACCTTCCTTGCATCCAAGAATTTCAATCTTCACCGTCGTATCCGGGGAACCCTCGTCTTTCTGCAGCAAGAAAATGGCAAATCATAAATTGTTTGCAATCTTTTCGTCAGCTTAGCTAAAAGTTAATACTTACCATCCTCTGTAGAGTAGCGAGGCACTGCAAAATTCAGGATTGCGAGAAGGATAAGAAAGAAGAAATTCGAGCGAGAGAGGATTTGGGATTATTAACTTGGATTAGTAATAAATGTCAACGAACACAGTACAGAAGGAGTGCAAAGATGGGTTTGGACGGGACAGAGAGAAGCCAGAGGCCCCACATTACCTACCCATCAAACAAATTTCAATGTTTCTACTTTCCGGGGTTCGATTCCTTTCTTCTTGTTCTTCTTTCTTGGCTAAGAAATGGAAGAATTCCATAGGTCATTACAGAACTATTAATTTAACTAGATAAAAAAAACTATTAAATGACTTTTAAATAGCGATTAAATTGTTACAAATTAACTTACCGTAACTTTCAAGTCGGAAGCAAGAGCTGCAATTGTGGGAAAGATAATAAAGAATAATGCTGACACAGAGATAAAATTGATCACTTGAGCTTGAAACTTAGTTTTCGTTTGATTATCTGGTCGTGGTAACAGCGCCCAATAGCGTGGACGTTGAACTTGCAGCGGCGACATTCATAGGCCAAGTTACCGGCACAAGGTTTCCCACAGTGCTCACAATCAGAGTAATCCCTCCGCCCCTCTGCCACAAGACTCAACAAATGCTTGTGAGTTTCATATGATCCATACTTGAGCCATGGATACTCCCCAAGGATGCATTCAGGGTGGGCAGCCAAACGGCACGTCTTGCAGTAATAAAAACACACCTTTGGGTTCCTCTCTTCTTCGCATACATCACAGTAATATTCCCCTGTTTTATCTTCCACGGAGAAACTCAGATCCATCAAACCACCATCGAATCGGCATCTTGCTTTCTGTGGAAGAGTTGCGCATCTGTAGTCCAAGGAGAAGTTGTTGCAGCCATCGTCACATTCGAACACCGCCTGATTGCTCTCGCCACAGCCACTACATATTTTATCCTCGTGGTTTTGTGCAAGAGACAGCAAATGCTGGTGGCTCGGATGCTTGAGTTTCCTGGTTTCGATCAGAACACAGCGAATGTCGAGCGTGTACAGACATTCTTCACAGTGGTAGGCATGACCATGGCAGAACTGCAGGCAAGCATGGCACTGGAATGCCACATCTTGGGTAGTGATGAGAGTTAAAGGATGTTTATGGAGCGGGTGCCTCTTTGTAACTGGCAAATCAGCGCAGTCTTTGTGAAGAAAGAAACCACACTTAACACAACTGTAAGAGTATGATGGTTTAGCGACCGAGAAGCGTCGCATACATCTGCGGCATTGTTTATCAATGTCACCCTCTTCTTTGCAGAGGATTAAGTCCTGTTCACAATTTGAATGCAGAATCTCAACCGAACCCACTTCTTCAAACGTTTTCTTTGAAGAATTATTCGATGCTGGCGCTTCATCCCCTAAAGGATTGATTTTTAGACTGTCCCTTTTAGTCTGTCCCCGCATGTACTTTTTCCCAGCACAATCCAAATGAACGACATAGCTGCATTCGGAGCAGCTGTATGCTGCGAACTGTGGTTCAACCTTCTTTCTGCAGATTTCACAAGCTAACTTACTGTGATCCTCAAAAGGGTGAGAGTATGTGAAAGTGAGAGGACAGTCGTGTCCAACAACCAAGAGAGATGGGGGCAATTCAGCGCAATTCTCATGAGCCAAAAGATGGCAGATGCTACAAAACCATGGAAAACCATGTCCCAGCCAACCACATAGCAGGCATCTGAAGTTAATTATAGTCCGAAATCTGATGAAGTCGTGCTTGTGATGTGAAGATGCTAGACACATTACATGGAGATTGAAATCACACTCAACACAGCTGTAAACGAACCGCGAGCATTGATTTTTGCAGGTATTGCAGAAAGGTTGAAGCGGGGCATGGGGATAAAGGAAGAGTGGGTGATGGTGGCGGTCGGGTTTCAATATCTCTTGCGGCAGCTCGGCGCAGGCTTTGTGAAAGCGGATACTACATTTTGAGCAAAAGTAAGTTGGGCCAGGAACAAGCAGCAGTCCACAAATATGGCAAGCAACCAGCTTGCTGGTAGTGATCTCGCTGTGGAGGATCAAGGGATGTGAATGGCTGAAATGTTTGCCTAACAAGTTCAAGCCAGGACGTTTTGTATCAGCGAGAATGCATTTGATGTCAACTATGAATTGGCAATGGGTGCAGATGTAGAAGCAATCGCGGGGCATCTGCCAGCAGCAATGGCAATGGTCGGAATTGGTTTCAGTGAGGGAAAGAGGATGGTGGGGATGGAATCGGGAGAGGATTTGAGGAGGGAGGTGGATGCAGGATTGATGAATGTAGAATTTGCAGAGGGAGCAGATGAAAGCTGGTGGAAACAGTTCTTTTTTGCAGACACAGCAGAACATGTCTTCTCGGCTGTCTGTTCTTTCTTCAATGAAGCACAGCGGGTGCGGGTGTGGCTTCTCCAAAAGCTTCATCTTCTCCATCTCGTGCCTCTTGTTCCTCCTCCTCCTCCTCCACGTCCACCCAGCTTTCATACTCAACCTGAAAACAAATGGTTTTGTTCAATTAAAATGGTCGATGTAATAAACACAACAAATTGTTTATTATTTTATTTACAGCCAAGAACATGATCTCTCCACCAATCCTTTTCTTCTCATTTATTACTATTTCTAAAGAAAGGAAAATCAATCGAGAAACTTCTTTCTTTGAAGATCTGATAATGCAGTGGATCAGATCTCAATGTGAATACTAGATTATTTTATATTGAAAAATCCAAAAAATAATAATGAATTACTAGATTGTTCATTTTTTCCTTCACATGATAACAGAGTCAACCTTGAGCATGAATTATGCTATTAAATACGGTTAAATTATATATATATACATATATATATATATATATATATATATATATATATATATATATATGTACACATATATAAAAGGTTACATAAATGTTTTTTCTTCTTAAAATGGAGTGATATTACATTAAGGACTTTATAGTAATTAGGTTCCTACAAATTGATACATGAAGACACAATTGAAAACTTTGAGCAAACCTGATGATTGATGAATGGGTCCATAGATTGACCCATTTGTGTAGTTAAATTGAAGGGAGCCCAAATGTGAGGAGAAAACCCTGAGGACAGATAGGCTTATCAAGATGCTTTAACGATCGGGTACATCCAACCGCAGTTCAGCCCGTCATGTGAGGCCCAGATTTTTTCTGCACGAACCATTATCAGGGTACTCCCTCATCCAACCAGGAGGTATATGACATTCTGGTGTGGTATCTCTGTCTTTAATGAAACCGGGCAAAATATTCAGAGAATCCTAAAAGAGCTTAAACTTGACTTTTCATAGTTTTCAAACAATCGACCATTTTCAATTTTCATGACACCCTTTCCTAGTTTGAAATCCAATTACCTTTGTTGTCATTTCTGCTGTCTGTCACTGAATCGTGGGGCAAACCAAATAATAGTTGCTTTGCATCACTAACACCCACGGTTCATACTCTGGGTTAAGCTGAGGAAGTTGTTTAAGTTCAACTTGAAGCCATCATTAAGGCCTTGGTTTGCGCATCTGTCAGGCTCATCTGAGCATGCCTTGAATGTTACTCATAAACACAATAATACAACAAGAAGGTATCCCCTAACTGCGACGATGACGATTGAGATAATCATCACCAATAACTAGTGTATAACTAAGTTATACAGATAGTACCCTGAAGCAGCTGGATTTTTCCATCAACGTTAGTGACTCCAATATTTATTTGGAACCACAGCATTTGCTGCAACTCTGATATAAGAGACCCATGACTTTAGCCTAACTGGTGGGAATGAAAATTCGGTTCCTAAGTCGATACTAAATTGTCAACAAATTCCTCGTTTCCCTTCGAAGGCATTGATCAAATACAATGCAGCAATTTGGGTTTCATCCAAGTTTCTGTAGAACCTAACAACCATAGTTAAAAGACTGCTATTTTGGAATCTAGATTCTCTGTAGGGCTTGTACAGAGATTTAGTTATTGCACAGAATTTTCGGAATATATTTAGTCGCCAAAGGCTTCTTTTTCCTTTGAAGGCATTGATCGAATAACAATGGCCACACGTCAAAATTCATCCAACTCGCTTAGAACCTAACTACATATTTAGGAGACTGTTATTTTGGGATCTACATTCCCTATGGGGCTGTACGGAGATGATTTTCCAAAATTCTCGGGCTGAACACAAACCCCATAGAAATTTTCTGAAAGAAAAGTTAAGTATGTTACAGTACGTTGTGTGCTGATCCTTGCAGCATAATCCACTGAATAGAAATGAAAACTTTATTTATTACAAGACTACCATTCCAACATCAAAAGAAAGAACCAACAGAAAGTTCCACACATTCAGGCTTCTTCTAAAAGCAACCAACAGTTGGTAAGATCTCCAGATTCAATTCGAGTGGTAGGCTGCCTAAGATCTTCGGCTTTTCAACCATGCTGTTCAAAATAGGATATAGCTGCAACCCTCCAAACCGGATTCAACAAGACCAACTTCGTAAAATACAGGGAGGCATGGATGCTAATTTCCAACGCACAACCAGGAACCTCAAAACTCAAAGATGATTTTACTAATAAACGCAAACGATGAATTTGAGTCGCGAAATTCACAAATGGTACTCAGGTAGTATGGATCTCAAATTCACAAATCCATCGATATAGTGAGTTTTGATGCATAAAATCAAACATGAAACATCACTCATAATTTAATTTTTTTAAAAGTTCAACAATAAGTGGGAGTGGGATCCAAACTTTCAAATAACTTTTATTTTGATTCTCAGACTTTTAAACTTTAACTAAAATTTTATAGAAAACTGAAGAACTTTAACTAAAATTTTAAAACTGAAAGATCAAAATGATAATGAATATGAATTCGAAGAATAAAATCAGAATTTAAAATTTTTGGAGATCGTAATAAATGAAAGGATAGATGTTTAGGCACTAAAACATATTTAAATTTGTGCCAGTATGCGCACAGAAAGATGGATCTTTTGCATCAAAGCACTTGTCATGTCCATGAAACTGTAGCTAAAGTCATTTTGTAGTAGTTGAGTATCTATTTTCGAGAGAGAAGGAATAATCATACTGGAGATGGAATATGTATGGTATATTATAGCATGCAGCTGAATAAGAAAAATAAAGAAAGAACCAACCATAAATAGGAAAGGTATGTTTCACTAGCTTTTTTTACACGTTCAAAGGTGGGTTGAAACTTTTGTCATGGGCGCATCTATGTGTCAAGAGATAGGCTAAGAATTGGATCTAATCCTCCACCAGGCTGTAAATTCTCGAGAAAATTCTACTTGCTGATGATATTTAAATGAAAAAAAAAGAGACTTTTTAAAGGATTTCACTACAGCCAGTCCCCTCGACACTCTTTCTAGCGTCTGCTCAACAAAACGAATCATATCTTTTAGCCTTAAATATATATTCGTCAACTTGCACCGATCCCACTACACAAACACTCCACCTCCAGTATATAAGGAGCAAAGGAAAATCATGCTCTTACCATCCCCAACTTCTTCCTCCCCTGCGTACTCAGACATACTTTTCCCCAAGCTTCTCTGTCATATCCCAACTTCCATTCCCCTTTTTCAGTGCCAGCCTAACTGAAAGTAATGGCATCAAGCTCTGTCACGTCGGCGGCACGTGGGTTTTACTCATCCTGGACAAAAAAAGAAAACAAGAAATTTGAGGAGGCATTAGCCTACTATGACCAGGACACACCAGACCGTTTTGAGAAGGTAGCGAGGGCTGTTGGTGGTGGGAAAACAGCTGAGGAAGCAAGAAGACTCTATGAGCTACTCGTGCGAGATGTCAAGAAAATAGAAGCTGGTCAAGTCCAAATACCCCTCTACAAGAACGTGGGTTGTAATGGCAGAGGGTATGCTGACCAGAAGAGGTAATATCCTACTTGCTGATATTTCCTCTCCGAAATCATTCCAAGCCTGAAGCCTATCCTCAGTAATCTTCTCCTTTCTACTGGTACATTAGAATAAATGTCCTAAACAAGAAACTTGTGTCCTACAATTCCTGGAGAAATATATTGAGACGATTCTATAACCGGCCCGTTGTTAAAAATCGTTTGATGTGTAGTAAAATGTTCACGAAGTCGGTTAAGCTACGAAGCTTATTCATGCGTGAGAAAATCCAAGACCGCTTGAGGAGAAATGTATTCGCCGACGACTAACTTTTCAATTCAACAATCTATATAACCACGCACTTAAAACTTCAATATCCTTTGAAGTAGATCAAGCAAAGAATCTGAAAATTACCTCAAATCCAAGTTAAAAAGGGAGACGTGGTTTGAAATACTAATACCGGGGGCAGTATGATTAGGAACGAGTACGTTAATGGTCCATGAGTAGCCCTGCCTGTACGGGATATTGCAAATCTTAAGGCAGCATTTATCGTAAATAACGATACAGAATAGACTTTGAAGGTTCACAACTTATCCACGTATCCCTCAAATGCAACCCTTCTTTTTCTAGTGGCTGCCACTTGACTAAAATGGCGGGCACTCTCCTGGGTCCAATGCAGATCTATCTTGTGAGTCTGTGACTGCGTAATTTTCTAACATTTTTCCATTATCCATTCGTATATTCAACTTTCTACGCAACCCACATGATATCCAATCTCAAATGCACATGATCTCATAATCTGGAATCCACGATTATCATCTCTAGCGCTCCCATCTTACCCTTAATTTAAAAACAGTAAAATAAGAACACAGTAGAATCGAATAGTCAGGATCAGTTCAATAGAAAAAAAAAAGAAACTAGTATATTAAGGATCCCACGTTGGAAAGATGTTCAGGTATTGCAATCTTTATAAGTTACATGGATTACTACTCTCATTACCGATTGGTTTCGAGATGGAACCTTGTATTTATCTAATATGGTATTAGAGCTGTTGAAGCCCACAGAGGTATTCGGTTAAAAAAAATTTGGGTTCTAACTCAATATCTTTATAAAATACATGGGATTCCTCTTGTTTCCAATTAGTTTGAGATGAAACTCATTTTTATCTAATAGACGCCCTCACCAAGCTCCTTGCCAGGTGAGAACACCTAACAAACGGGGCATTTGTTCAACAAAATCAGAAAAAAGGAAAAAGAAAAGAAAAAAGAATCGCCTAATATCAGCCTTCAATTAGACCGCGCAGAGTACCAACTCAACAGTAGAGCAGATATAAAATGTATAATGCGATAGACAAAAGAACATGAAGGAATCAGAGATGGGCGATTCATCTATTAGATGAAGTGTTACTGAATACTGACCTTTGCAACGCTGTGGTAACAGTAGGAATTACAAGATAGAGATAGCTGATTCGATTTCATAATGAGTTGAACATTCGATCTGAATTAAGAACCGCGCGAACAAAGAATTGGAACGATGTTCCCGGAGAGAGCAATCACATAAGTTTCCGGTTAAGGGAGATATTGAAATTTGAGTCCGCCTTTTGAGAAATAAATAACGCGGGAATGTCCGTAAAATGGGATCTGGGTACGGACTCCGCAACGATCCAAATAATCTGATTATTGTTTTTTTTTTTTTAAATATATATTATTAACCGTTGGACATAAATTTAAAAATAAAAAAACTAAATTAACAAAAATATTTTTTAATTTGCAATTTATCTTTAAAATACCTTTAATCTAAAAATATATATAAAAAAATTCACCTGTTAACGCTTCATTTCACAAATGACTTTCAATAATACTCTTTTAACTATTGGTGGTAAAAAAATATTTTATTTTTTGTTATAAAGATAAATGGTAAAAAAATTTATTCTTTTATTATTAGTGTTAATGCTACTTTTAAATTTTCATATGTTTAAATAAACATAGTACCAATAGTAAAAGAACATACTTCAATTACTTCATACTTCAGTTACTTCTAACATATTCTATCAATCCCATTGAATTGAAAAAGAAAGAAAAAGTAATCATATGTAGGTTGTTAAATATGTAACCAATTAATAAAGGGTGCAAATAAAATTCAGAAAAAATAGATTAAAAGCAAGGGTGCATTCAATTCGCTTGGTTACATTGAGAAACTTCAAACCAATGTAATTTCTTTCATTCAGCTTTGATTGGTTCTAAAGTTCATTTCAACAAGTAGTCGGCCCAAATCTTGTCACTTTCAGATATTCAAAGCCATTTGATTCGGAGTGACAAGTTTACAAACCCAACTGCAGCGTTTCTCCAGCTAAAATCATCAGAATTCATGCTTCATAGTCCCTATAAATCGAGTTCTCAAAGGTAAATTCTATGATGCTACCCCTTACTAAAAACACCAGCCGTATTTTCAAAGGTAAAAAAGATGAATGAGGCTACCGAGCAATAATGCATTTTCTCCCATGTTGAATAGATGAGGCAAGATGAGATGGGATTACGAGTCTGAAAAGCAAATGTCACAGCCAGCCATCGATTATCCGCATGAATGATTATTTTCTATGTACAAACTAAGATCAATGTTTCAGAAAAATTGAAGTAGAGAAAAGGGTCAAAGATGGATCATAAAGTCATTACAGATTGTTGTGTCGTTGAATATGCACAAGTGAACAAGCGGGTTTCTCGAAGTCGAACTCGTGCTAAATCACATTGAAAGCACAGACATTCAAGAGGAACATTATATCAATATTCCTTGCCACATGATACATGTTGACGGCCTTAAAAGTGACATCAACCTACCTAGAAAAGGAAACTAGCACATGTCATTTCATTATTTAATATTGAAGTCTAGAGTGTCCAACCTCAAGGAGCCAAATATCCATTGCTGAGTCTTCTACTCCCACATAATTGGCATACTTATCATTCAGTAGATGAACTGATTGGGCTATCTGCAAAGATTTACTCTTTTCGATCCGAGTCACTGCCCCCAAGCACAGGCCCTAAACATAAACAACATGATCCACATGAGCAACTCGAATCACATGAAGAGTAGCAAATAAAGGAATTGAACGATACACCAATTGAAGAACAGAGGAAAATCTGTTACTGTTTCCCAATGATCCAAAATATAGGAAAAGAGACGAGAGAGCAATCATTCAAGAACCAACGGCCAAGACAGAACAGATGACTAAGAAGATCCTGAGGCAGCAACAATAAGTTTTTGTCAAGTGTTCCACAGTTTGTTCTCTCTTTATTCCAGAAAAGGGGCCTATCTTGCTGCCTCATCGTTTTCAATTATTTAATAAAAAGAGAGAAAAAAAAGCATTAACAAGCAAGATTTGTGTTCATGACCATAAACCTTAGCGATACAAATTAAATTTTCTGGATCCAACAGAGAAATTGCGCGGCTTCTCCAAACCTCAACTATAGAATCAACATAAGTGGTAAGTGTTTTTCAAAGAGCGGCACACTAAAACACAGTACTCTCTTCTAGGACTTCTGCAAAGCGTGCAGATAAAAAAAAACGATGGCTTTTTTGGGAGCACTCAGATACAAAAATGCAAATAACTTTTTGATAAATGGAAAATATAGGTTTACAACTAATAAGATAATGAGAAGTTTAAGAAATTAGAACTTTTATAAAAGAATCTGGTGAAAAACGAACGTTTTAAGAACACTTCCGAATCTCTTCCTAAAAAATTAGAAATTAAAAAAAAAAAAAAAAAAAGGTTCTTCAAGCACAGAGACGGGGCCTCAAGTGTGCTTCATAGGAGCACCTCACCTTTGTCTTTTCTGAAAAGCGCACCTAGGAGAGCTTTTTTGCGCTTTTCAAATCACTGATAGTGGTAAGCTATGGCTTCATAAAAAATTGAATATAAAATCGAAATCTGAGAGTTCTAGACTTCTAGTATTAGCAACTCAAAACAAGGACAAATTCCAAACATGTGTCTGTCAATCTATCAAGTTCAGACTACAAACTTTCAAGACTTCCAAGAAAATAAAGAAAAAGAAAAAAAAAACGGCATAAGGGGGAGAAAAACAGTATGCATTCACCACGTGAAAGCACCAAAGAAGAGAAGAAGAAGAGGAGGAGGATATGAATAATCGATGCCCCTTAAGAGTGATCCTCACTTCCATATTCATCTTCCACATTCCTTGACCACTCCAAGAAGATCAATGATCCAACTACACCCAAGGTATATTCAAGTCACCATCTTAAACTTCGAACGTAATATACCTTTCTAATATTCTGAAGAACTACTTTTCACTACAGATGACTGACTTGAATAAATATTCCACAAATGCAGAAATCTGCTCCGATATTATCACATTTAGCATGTGGCTTTGTTTCAATGATATTGCCCTATGCTATGTTCCCCTACCATAAGAAGCCTGCAGAAACCGAAGACGAAAATAATGTGGCTAACAAGCATGGACGGTGCTCATTTTCACCAAGCATCTAAACAATAAAGGGAACAAGTATTTAATATGGCCCATAGGTTGTGGCTTTGTATATTTCATTATATCGATGAAACTTTCTGCTTATTTCAAAAGTAAAAGGATTGCAAGACAAATTAATATCTGAGAAAACAATGCACATAATTGGAAGCACGTTATAGAGTTAAAACAGTACCTACAAGAAAAAGAAGCATAAAGATCCCAGAAAAAAGGTCGAAATATAAACCGCAAAGCTTACTGAATATTTCAAGAAACATGCAAATAAGTATCGTCAATTTAGATATTCAGACATCTTTCGTTAGAAGCTAGATGCAATTAAAAGAAGAAAAAAAAACTTCACTCTAAACACCATGTATAAGTATGGTATGCCGCATTTGATAAACAATGGATGCAAGAAAGACAATTTGGGACTGCAAATAATGGAAGCTCCAACACAAAAAAGAAAAACTATTTTAGTTTCTACATCGATAGAGGAAGATGAGATTTTTCAACTAAAACTACATGCAATACGTGGAAAAATATAAACAAGAGAAGATAACAAAGCCATAAAGGTTTTACCCAAGATTGAGAATGCTATTAAGTGGGTCAAGAAGCTGCGGCTGCTGTTGATGCTGGTGCTGCGGCTGGTGCTCTTGTTGCTGCAGTTGTAAACTAGCACCAGCAGCTATTGCTGCTGCGCTTGAAGAAGCCCCCTTTGCCTCAGCAAACCTCCACATATACCACGACCCAACCGATCGATACGGCCTCCACTTCTCGCATAAGTGATCCATCTGCGATGGTCGAGGCAACTCTTCAAGATTGTAGAGAAGTTGAACACCTTTGCGAACATTAAGATCATTGATAGGAAGCACGTCTGGTCTGTGCAGCGAGAAAATCATGAACATATGAACAGACCAAGACCCAATTCCATTGACCATTGTAAGCATCGTGAAAAGCGATTTATCATCCATATTTACAATTGCGGGGTCTGAAAGAATCCCATTTTGATACTTCCTCGCAAGATCATGAAGGTAACTAGACTTACGACCCGAAATTCCAATTTGCCTGAGCTGTTGAGGGCTCAAGGCAAGTACAGTTTCAGGAAGAACGCCAGCCTCGCCGCCACAGAGAGCGATGAAACGAGTGTAGATTGAGGTGCCAGCTTTGTAAGCCAGCTGCTGATAAAGGATACTTCTAGTAAGGGCAAGGAATGGGGTTTGAAAACTGTCGAAGGTAGGACGTTGATGAAGGTCGATCAAAGGTGCAAGGAGCGGATCGGCATTCCGGAGATGCCGAAGCGCGACTTCCACCTCGCCTTCACAGGAAAGTGATCGGGCAAGCATTACAGGGGCAGACGCGAATGCGGCGCGTTGTTGGGCCGTCTTGCTCTTGTTAGATTTGCTGGTGGCTATAGGTTTCGGCCCATCCGGAATGGCAACAACCTGAGAAGAATTTGGATCCGATTCATCAGGCGAGAGCTTCCGGATCTTCCGCGGACGCAAGGGCATTTTGGATGGCGGAGAAGAGGTTTGCGATGGCGCATTCATCACCTCGCTTAATGCCACAGTAGCTTGGGCGATAGTGGTTGTGGAGTTGGAGGATTCATGAAACGTGTTCTGAGCCTGCGATTGCGCTTGAGATTGGCTTTGGGTCTGAGTCTGAACCTGCACTTGCGTGTGCTCTCCCATATGTAAAGGATTCAATCTGCGCTATCTCCTTTCACCCAGACAAGTCAGTTGAAAGAAAACACTGTACAAAACCAAGATCAGCGGCGGTGGAGAATCGGAAGAAGGGCAAAACTCGATGCCCCAAGTGAAAGAACAAGAAGTGGATTATTGAGGCTAACAGAAAGAAATTGAAAAGTAAATGTGAAATTGAACAGATTAGGGATTTTAAATTAGGTTAAAGAATAGACAAGTGGATTGTGAATGGTATAACCAGCGACTGAGGAGAATGAATTCCCGGTGACGTTCTTCTTTCAGTCTCTTCCTCTTCTCTATCTCTGCCTCTGGCCGCTCGCTCCTCAGTTCTCTAACCCAACTGGCTTTCGATTTCCCCTCCAGACTGGGAAATCAACTCTCCGCTTCTTCACGCTCCTCTGTTGGCGTGTGACGTACAGTCGGCCCATGGGCTCAGGCTTCTTGGGCTGGCCTGTATTTAAAGAAGAAGAAGCCTGGATCGCGTTATTGGGCCCCAATCGAGTAAATGGGACCATTGTTGGCACGTGACGTACAGTCGGCCCATGGGCTCAGGCTTCTTGGGCTGGCCTGTATTTAAAGAAGAAGAAGCCTGGATCGCGTTATTGGGCCCCAATCGAGTAAATGGGACCTTTGTTGGCGCGTGACGTACAGTCGGCCCATGGGCTCAGGTTTCTTGGGCTGGCCCGTATTTAAAGAAGAAGATGGCTGGATCACGTTATTGGGCCCCAATCGAGTCAATGAGACCTTTGTTGGCGCGTAACGTACAGTCGGCCCATGGGCTCGGGTTTCTTGGGCTGTCCCGTAGTTAAAGACGAAGAAGCCTGGATCGCGTTATTGGGCCCCCAGTCGAGTCAATGGAACACTTACCGAGAAAACTGCGGGACGTCCCACCATGGCTGGAAGTATATAAATTTAGCCGACAACGAGAGACTGATCTCTCCCGCCCTCTCTCATCTCTGTTCTGTCGTTCATTTTCCTGTACCAACGAGAAATAACGTGCGTTTCTTTCATTGGCAATTAACAGATTGGCGTGCGTTTCTTTTTTTGCCAATCAGGCAAACAGATTGGCATTTGATTACGGAACCTATTTTTATTCCAATCTCTTGTTCTTATTGGTAATCGGAAAGTGACGTAATAGATCGTTGTTGATTTCGGAACAGAGCGGGAAGAGATGAGTTTCAGGGACGAGAATGAGGAAGGGAGGGATCTCAGGAAGCCCTTCCTGCACACCGGAAGTTGGTATCGTATGGGATCGAGGCAATCGAGTATGATGGGCTCATCGCAGGCCATTCGTGATAGCTCTGTTTCAGTTCTTGCCTGCGTATTGATAGTCGCCCTTGGTCCAATCCAGTTTGGTTTTACCGTAATCATCATTTCTCGATCTTCTATATTTTATTTTATCGTGCCAAAAAAAATATATATATATATATATATATATAGGAGAGAATTTTCTGGTTGAGAATTGATTGAGTTAATCTGATTATTCTGGTGTTTGATTTGATCTGTTGCCAAGACTGCGTTTCTGATCTCTCAGCTACTGGTTTAATATAATTTTGCATCACTTGGTGTAGTGTGGATATTCATCTCCCACCCAATCTTCGATAATGAAGGATCTACGGCTCACAGTTCCGGAGGTGAGGATTCATAATGCATTCCTTTCTTTTTCCAACACCATTCGAACATCATCACATTGGCTTTTTGATATCTGATTTTTTGTTCAGTACTCTATATTCGGTTCTCTATCCAATGTTGGCGCTATGGTTGGCGCCATATCCAGTGGTCAGATAGCCGAATACATTGGTCGAAAAGGAGTAAGTTTCCTTCATGAATCATTTTCCATTTAGCTCACTATATCTTGTTTTAGTTTCTATTGGTTTCCATGATTCATTTGTCTTGCTTTATTTCAGTCTTTGATGATTGCAGCCATTCCAAATATTATAGGTTGGCTTGCTATATCATTTGCAAAAGTAAGTTGGATGATCATCCTAATGTATTACTTATAAATGGATTTAGAGTAAATGGCAATACAATAATCTCAATTCTCACTCTTCCTACTAACTTAATGCTTTGTAGGATTCTTCTTTCCTCTACATGGGGAGGTTGTTGGAAGGTTTTGGTGTGGGAATAATCTCATATACGGTTAGACATTGAGTATCTACTTTGTTAAAATTTTACCTCTTACAGAATCTTGAGATAACATTTTTGTATGATTGTAGGTACCCGTTTATATTGCTGAGATAGCTCCTCAAAACTTGAGAGGGGGCCTTGGTTCAGTTAACCAGGTTGGTTAGAACTATTGATTTCTTTTGATTTCACCATTATTTTCTGTTGTCATCATGCTTTTCCAAGTTAATACTGTGGTTTCTTGTTGCTAGCTCTCTGTCACCATTGGAATAATGCTCGCTTATGTTCTTGGACTTTTCGTGCCGTGGCGACTGCTTGCAGTTCTGGGTAATTCTCTTGAGAGACATGCTTCTATTGGTAAATGGGATAAATGTGTACCTAAGATGTAAGATCCCACATCGGTTATAGAGGGAAACGAAACATTTCTTATAAGGGTGTGGAAACCTCTCTCTAATAGACCCATTTTAGAATCATGATGCTGACGACGATATGTAACGAACTAAAGCAAACAATATCAAACAATATCTACAAGCAGTGAGCTTAAGCTCTTGCATAACAATTCCAGGCCTTCCTTGGCAACTGATTATGAAATGCATTCTAAAGTTTATTGGCTTAGTTATGATAAAGATTCCTTTCTAAGAATTCTTGTGTTTCACAGGAATTTTGCCTTGTACGATTCTGATACCTGGATTGTTTTTTATCCCAGAATCTCCTCGGTGGCTGGTGAGTTTCTCAAATCGATTTCGTTGTGATTTTTTTAGGCTTACATCACCCTGTTTATGCGTTTTTTTATCAAACCGAGTCCAGGCGAAAATGGGTATGACGGAAGAATTTGAAACATCCTTGCAAGTTCTTCGTGGATTTGATGCTGATATCTCTATTGAAGTGAATGAAATCAAGGTAAATCAGCATAATTTGCGAGTTAGTTATTAATTATTGTCCTCATTCCTCAAAAACTCTTTGCAAGACAGACATGAATAGTTTGTCCAATCCTCTCATCTCTCTTTGATGATGCATACGGTGCAGAGGTCCGTAGCATCCACAGGCAAAAGAACAACAATCCGGTTTGCAGACCTCAAGCGGAGAAGATACTGGCTTCCTTTGATGGTATAGCTACTCTACCATTGACTGCAAGTTTTCTTTCAGTTTTCCAACTTGACAGTCTAATTGATCTTTGCTATCATCCAAATTGCAGATTGGTATTGGGTTACTAATGTTGCAGCAGCTTACTGGAATTAATGCAGTTTTGTTCTATTCAAGTACCATATTTGCAGCTGCTGGTAAGGAAGAAATTCGTTTAGTACTCCGTGGTCGTTGTCGTAGTCGTTTATTTAAGCAGTGTGGAAGAGATCATTTGTTCTTTAATCTGTTTGTTGCTGCTTTAAACCCAAAACCTGAATCACATTAATTTCTAACACTTCATTGATATGTAGTATTCAATTGATATTTGTATTAAACAGGCGTTAAATCAAGTAATGCTGCCACATGTGGGATCGGAGCAGTCCAGGTTCAGCTATAAGGATTGCCTGATACAAATTATTATATCCATGCATTGTTGCCAATTTGGCATTGACATGGAATTTCATGCCTTTTTAGGTTATTGCCACTGCAATGACGACATGGTTGGTTGACAGAGCAGGCCGTCGAATTCTTCTTATCGTAAGTTTTTTTTTTTTTTTTTCCTCTCTTATCGTAGTTCTCAAGTTATTATTTGTGAAGTCCTACGTCGGTTGAATGAATATTCCTTATAAGAGTGTGGAAACCTCTTCCTAACACATGTTTACCTTTAGGGGAAACCTGGAAGGGAAAAACTAAATAAGACAATATCCATTATGAATGGTAAATGGAAATTAATTTTTTTTTTTTTCCTTTTTTGTTCAGGTGTCCACGGCTGGAATGACGTTTAGCCTTTTAGTTGTTTCCGTAGTCTTCTTTTTGAAGGTAAGAGTTCTTGAGGGGTTGTATTTTATAATTTTAAGATTGTTGATTACCTTCTCTAACACGTCTTCCCTCGGATATAAAATCAGGATCATACCCCCGAGACGTCCAATTTATATGGTATTCTGAGCATTCTATCAGTTGTTGGAGTTGTGGTATGTTTATTTCTAAGCAGCACTAAATACAAATTGATTTCTAAAGTAATTTTCCCATAGAAAAGTTCATCTGCCTATTTCTTTTCTTCAGGCCTTGGTGGCTTTCTTCTCTCTGGGTCTTGGGGCTATTCCATGGGTTATAATGTCTGAGGTATCTTCACTTCCATCCATGTAAAATTGCAAGTAATGTAGGCTTATATGCTGCCTGCTTCTTTCTTTCGACCCGCATGAAGTTTGATGATCATAGTGAGTAGAGTGCAAATCGAACTGTTGCTTGTGTCCTAGTCTAAGAAAGAACAACTTTTACCTGTATTTGGTTGCGAACATTCTGATTTGCATAGCTGGTCGGAATTATGCTTCTAGTTGTCTAAGGGAAAAAAAAACTGCTGCAGATTCTTCCCATTAATATCAAGGGTCTCGCTGGAAGCATAGCAACGCTAGCTAACTGGTTCATTGCTTGGTTGGTCACAATGACTGCAAACTTGCTCTTGGAATGGAGCAATGGAGGTTTTCTCCCTCTCTCTATGTCTCTCTCAATATTTGAATCGCATTATACATCCAAATTTCATGTCGTTGCTGCTGCGCTATTGGTTGCAGGAACGTTCGCCATCTACATGTTGGTGAGTGCTTTCACATTGACATTCATTATACTCTGGGTCCCCGAAACCAAAGGAAGAACACTGGAAGAAATTCAGTTCTCCTTCAGATAAGAGGGTTGTTTTTTCTGTTTCTCTTGGTACCCGCCTGTTGGAAAGAAAGCCTATTTATGCAGCTCTAACTTTTATGTATTTTCCCCTCTATATATAAAAATGGCAGTTGCCTTAATATCATCTTCATCGAGGTTTATAATTATTTATATAAAGCTAATCACGACTCATCGTAGAGGATCGAAAGATAGAATTGAAGGTGGACTAAAAATTGCGTAAAGAAAAAATTGAATTCAACTAATGTGTTCCATTCGTGACTGCTTCTTCTTTTTGCCACAAGTGCAACGTGTGTACACTTTTAATGGCATTATATCACGTATTACCTTTAATGGCATTATATCACATATTACTTGTACGACCAATTAGCTTTTGTGTGTGGAAATGAACGTCCCTACAACCAGAATAACAATGCTAATACAAATAATAGCTGATTGTTACCCAAGTCCAACGGATGCCAGAATAATTTATTCAAAATAAGTTAAGGGTCAAATGCGATATTGTCCATAGCACCTAAATGGCTTCCTTCAAGAGTTTCTCAGTCAGAGCCTTGGGAAGGCCCATCACACTATCTGTCGTCCCGACCTGCAGAGATCCAAAGCCCGTAAGGTATCTACAAGAAATCAAGAACGATAGGCATATTTGTGGATTGTCCCAACCGATTTGTTGGCCATATGTAAAACTCTATCTCCTCAGTTAAAAAGAGTCTTAATCTTCAGGATTTATAGACCGAGGAAACTTGCGTGCAACACACGTTTACCCATGTGATGAAAAAAAACTTATGTTGAAAAAACAAAATTTAAAAACTAAAATTCATGTTTAAAAAGTAAAATGGAAAAGGAAAGGAAAAGGAAAGGAAGAAGGGAAGCTAACCACTTTTTTCACATAGGGTAAAATCAAAGGATGCTCGATAATCAGCCCTCCGGCAACATTGAGCACATTCCCCTCCTCGACCTGAAATGTATAGAAAAAAGGAAAAACAAGATGACAAAAGATACAACATTTCCCTTTCCTAAAGAAAACACAACCAACAACCAGTGAAAGTGAAATCTCTACCAGCATGTCGATGACTTCATCAGGTATTTCGTGGAAGAAGATCTGTAAGAGCCACTCGTCAATATCGGATAGCATAAGAAAACAAAAAAACATGTGATATTGTAAAACAGAACCAAAATCCTCTAGAAGGTAACAGTCTCCATAACGCGAGTGTCTTTTCATTAAAATACTATCATCAATAAAAGAACATGTATATCTATACCTCTACACGATCCCATTCTCCTTTCCTAAATCCTGTTTTAAGATTTGTAACAAATACAGATCCAAGTGTCGCTGCATGCCCTCCTGAATAATCTGCAAAATAATTTTTAATCGAACCAAAACATTCAAGAAATAGTAAAAACATAGAAATGCAGTACTATTAGTATTATGTGAACAAACCTTTCATAAATTGTCGTGCTTCCTCCTTGCCGGCTGGTTTTTCTCTGATGACACCTTCATAGATCACCACCTCCACATCAATTACCAATAGAAGTAAGAAAGTATGTCTAAGAGGAACTTTGCAAACAGAACAAGAAAGGGTCGTAATGGCACAAGTTATCACGATAAGACCATTTCTGTTTTGGGGATACAATATGCAACGGGTCTAAGAATACATATATAACAAGAGAACTGTTCCATAAACTTCTATCTCAAGGTTAATGAGTACAACAGGGGCACAATATGTGGCGGGAGGTCTTTCACATGGGATTGGCCATATATTTAATCTGGTTATTGGTTAAGGGAACAGACTGAGGAAAGACCATTAAGCATCAACTTGCCATTATCGGCTGCATGATTGAAGAAAGAAAGAAAGAATGTTAGATATGAAAATCATACTAATCAACTTTTTATTATTATCTTTAAAAAAAAGTTTTAGAGATGCAAATAATAAAAACTTTAGAAATGTCTACAGTTCTGATGTCAATTTTGAAAATACGAAGACAATTCAACATGACAATTTAGAAGGCAACAAAACTCTTATTATCTTTACTGAGTCAAGTAGATAAAGGCGTGCAATGGACATCGCACAAAAAAATTATCTATATGGATCAAGTTGAAAATTAAGAAAACATATAAAAAATATATAAAAACAGACGGATGTCAAAGGACTTGATTTAATAAAAAATTATCTATATGGCTGTGTGTCCGTAAAATCATTGATGGAGAGTGTTCCTAAGATGGCTTCTGCCTGACAATAAATATCCATCATCTAAGAAATAAGCCAAAGCCACCTACTACCACAACCAAACCCCGTACTAAAATTGTGAAAGATAGTGGAAGAACCTTTGACATGAAACAGTCAAGTCAGCTAAGACTTCAAAGAGCAACGAAAAATTGCACACTGGAAAAGATTAACTCCAAGCCACCATGCATCATATTGTTTAACAGAGAGAATAACGACTAACACTAACATAGGAAAACATACTGTGTCAGCAGCAATCAAAATTGTGGAATCTGCTTCCTCTTCATGTGTATGATTCTTTTGTAAGTTGGATATGATGGCGTCAGCCTGAGATGAAACTCATACCTAATTAATACAAGATGCGTGCACAAAATAATCACATGCCAAACTATGCAAATCACTGTATCCAGTCTAGGATGGTTTTAGAAATATTGTGTAGCTAATAGAAGCTTCTAAATCCTAGCCTGTCATGATAGCATGGAACCAAAGACAATCACAAATCCAAGATTATCTTTTGGCGACAGTGCTCATACAGCACAAGCAATTTACAAAAGGGAACCAATAACATACGCATTAATATTTCAATTGCAGAATATGGTGGAGCACAAATGAATCACAAGATGATACCTAACCTTTGCCTCTGCAAGAGCCACAACCAACTCTTCCGGCTTTTCTTTGCGTATGGCTTTCTCATCAATATCTGCAGACTTCATTTTGAGAGAGAGAGAGAAAAGGTAAACATTCTGAGAAGAGAGAGTTGTCAGGTCATGTAAGTATATGTATGTAGACAATACCATAATGGTGAATTCATAACCCATCTCAGATAATATTTTCCTACGCGCCACTGAAGATGATCCCAAAATTATCTGCCAAACAGCACATTCGTTAAGAGCGTTTTTTTTTAAGTTGATATGATTCTCAAAGTTGTTTAAGACTGTAATGCTAAGGTTATATTTAAAAATGGAGTAAAATTTTAATCAACATATGGACATTTTTATTGACCAAAAAATTAGACATCGCGGAAAAACATTTTTTTCTCCAAAATCCGATGGAGACCTCAATGAAATGTGGAAAAGATCATCAATAAGTAGTGGAAATTAACAATCATATGAATATAAGTACTATCGACGATTAAGTGCTAAATAATTGTTATTACTACGAACAGTTCTTAAAAACTTTTAGGAACTCTGTGATATTTATAAAAATATCCGCAACATTTCCAATCCGATAGATCGGCACTGACAATTGACATTCACAATACTCAAATAAAAACTTCCTTCAGTCTGGATTATGCAATTGCAACATTCTTTTGTCTTCAACAATTGTAATCGGTATCTAGATAAATACTAAGCAAACGACTATCTGCATTTTCTACTAAACGCATTGGTCGACCACTGCAAGCCTCAGTAGTGTTCCACAGTTTTTCATAGTGGAAGTCATTGCAAATTTCAAAATCAAAACAAAACAAAACAAGAAAACTCAGCTCAAAATGGAGCACTAGAAAATAATCAAATATCTACAAGCAACAAACGTAATTTCTTCTGAAAGGTAAGTAAATATCTGCTATATATCAGTGTCCGCAATCGACATATCGATTCCATTAAAGAGACTCGAAGAATCTTGTCAAATGGACAGCCGTAAAAACGAACAAACCATTTGAAAAAGAGTTCCTTGACCTTAACGCGCAACCGTGCTAGCAGAAAATAGTGAAAAACAGTCCGTACCTTAAACGAAGATGAATTAGCTTCCATGACTCCCCGCTTCGCCAATCAGTTGAAAGTTGAAACTCACAACCAACGAATAGCGTAATCCCTCCACTACCTTCTATCGGCGGGACGAGACTTTATATTCCACTCTTTCGGGTCTCTAAACTTGAACCAATTCGTTTGGGCTTTTATTAGATGGGCTTCAATACAAAATGGGCTTTTCCCAATCCCGGCCCAAATTCAATTTCACGTGCTTTAAAATACTTTAAATTTTAAATTATACAAATAGGTTCAATTAAACTAACGATTTTTTAAACTCAAAATAACAATAATAGATTACATTGGTTTTTGGATAATTAAAGATTAACTTTAAAATATCTATTTTCCAGCGAACTTAATAAATAATTTACAATAATAACTCATATTAATAGAGTATTTATTCATTATATAACAAATTGGGACTACAGATATAAAACTAGGAATTACAATAAAGATGGGTGACGAAAACTAGCTACATTTAGCCTTCATATTTCAATGCAAGCGTAGGCTCCTCATCCTGCATTAATCACAAGAAATTCTTGTCATATATATATATATATTCGAATATATTAGAATATAAATAAATTTTATTGTCGTCCTTAATTACCGTTATTCGTCGTCAACAAAGCGAAATCCTCGGCCTGCGGGTCCGGGTTTTCTGTAATTAGGGAAAGGAACTTGGCCGGTCTCGATCCTGTTGACATCTTCAACGAGCCTGTCGTAGTGGCGTTTCACTTCCTCCGCCGTCTTCGAGCCGACGGCTTTGGCGAGGATGTGCCACCGCCCCGGCGTGTTTTTGTCGTAGATGGCTAAAGCATTCTCGAACGCTTTGTTCTGCTGCGCCGTCCAATTCGAACCAGACCCCATCGCCATATCTATTAATTTCAGATCAGTGCTTGGTTTTTATTTTTTATCACAGATTTGGCGGCCAGTTCTGACGTATAAATACTACAAAAACACAGACCCAATGTGGGCCAATGGTTCCAAGTGGGTTCGACCTTGCTTACCTTTCACCTGTTGCTTTCCACCGGAAACACGGTCAGATACTCAGATTCTTTAGAAAAAAAAAATTATAATAATAATAAATTAATTTTTAATATTAACTTATAGAGAAAATATTAAAAGTTTATGACCATTGTTATAATTTTATGTCCTGCAAATGTG